GATAGGTTCATGTATTAAAACTAATTATTGTGTTATTGTATGCATAAATGTGGGCCTATCAAAATTAAATAAATATTTAAATAATTAAATAAGTAAACAAGGGTATTTTAGTAATTTGATGAATAACTTCCACAAATAGACCCTGTAATCACGTTAGCATTCAGATTTAACCTAATTTCTTTTCTTATATACACCTTCATCGATGTCTTCCAACCACTCCGCCACCAGCAGCAGGTCACCGCCTCATTCAATTACCGTTGTCGTTAGGGTGCTAGATGAGTTCGAAGAGGCGGCGTCGATACCAGTCGGAAGGTTAAGGCAAGTGGTTGATGCTATGGCCGTTGAGATGCATGCTGGTTTAGCCTCTGAGATGTTACTCACCTTCGTCGACAATCTCCCAGACGGGTTCGTATAGCCATTAACACATATCTCGCTCATAGATGCATATATTATACTCTAAAATTAATGTATTTGTGATTCTCTTCCAAGTTTTTTGTTCCAAGCTTAACTTCTTGTGAGAAAAGCATTCCCTGGTGCTAATTTGATCGAATTCTTAATTCTTCCTACATTCAGATGCTTTTAATCGGTATCTCGAATTCTCATACTGTTAATTTCAACTCTTTTTACTAATGCTGCTGCTGTAGACTAATGTATCGTCTTTCTGGGTGTTGTTTTACATTGTATTCATCTTTAAAATATCAATTTTATGAAGGGAATTTGGGTTTGTTGATTCACAGGAAATGAAGAAGGAATAAATTAGTTTTTATTTTTTATTTTTTGTTCTAGCAGCCTCTAGACTCAGTTTAGCGTTTCTTGAATTTTTGTTGAAGTTTGTGTGATTTTGGTCAGTAAAGATGAAATGAATAGGGGATATTTTGCTGCCTTCGTTATGAGATTTGATTGTAACTCTTAGGATGCACACCAACTGGTCGATAAAATGCTTGAACCAACCTTTTCAATCTTTATTCAAGACCGTTATTCAGTGTATGCTTAAGTTTCCTTTGGGTATGAACTATGAACTATGAACTACGAAGCATGTGTTTTAAAATTAAATCCAATTTTATCTTTCTTTGGTATAATATATA